TATTTTTTAGAATCTAAGGAGAAAATAAAGGTATATCAATTTGGATTTAGGAAAGGGCGAAGTACGATAGATCCAGCAGTATGTCTGGAACATGAAATTAGACGGGCCCAGGCTAACAGGGAAAGTGTGATTGCAGTTTTTCTGGATGTGGAGAAAGCATATGACATGTTGTGGAGGGAAGGGTTATTGATTAAAATAAAACAAATGGGTTTAAAAGGTAAAATAGTTAGATGGATACAAAATTTTTTAACTGAAAGAAGTATCAGTGTAAAAATAAACGGTGAAATAAGTTCAAATTATCAAATGGAAAATGGTACTCCCCAAGGCAGTATAATTAGTCCAATATTATTTAGTATAATGATTAATGATATTTTTAGGAATGTAGATAAATCTTGTGGCGTCTCATTATATGCAGATGATAGGGTTATTTGGAAAAGGAGCAAGAATACAGAATTTATTGAAAGGAAAGTACAAGAGGCATTAAATAATGTAGAAAAGTGGGCATTAGAATGGGGATTCAGATTTTCAACATCCAAATCAAAATTTGTTGTTTTTACAAATAAAAAATTAAATCCTAATATCAGTCTCAAACTGTATGGGGACAACATCGAAAGAATAGATCAATTCAAATATCTAGGCATCTGGTTTGATAAAAAACTTACATGGAAAATACACATAGATAATATTGTAGGAAAGTGCAAAAAAGTTCTAAATATAATTAGATGTTTGAGAGGTAAAGAATGGGGTGCAGATAGGAAAGCATTAAAAACAATATACGTTGGGTTAATAAGGTCAATTTTGGACTATGGAAGTATTTTATATAATTCAGCTTCAAACACATTACTAAAACAAATAGACAGAATACAATATCAAGCTTTAAGGCTTTGTTGTGGAGCTATGAAAACTACCCCAGTCTCAGCTCTGCAGGTTGAGATGGGGGAAATGCCACTAGAATTTAGAAGAACACAAATAGCCGTAACTTACTGGGCCAATATTAAAGGGCATAATGAAACTCATCCTCCACTAAACACTCTTCAACCGTGTCAAGAAAAAGAAAAGAAACAATTTAACAGTTTTGGATGGAAAATCATAGATAAAACTGAAAATGTCAGAATAAATAATTTTCAAATTAGTCCTGCGGTTGCTCTTCCTACTGTCCCACCATGGATCACTAGACAGATCACCACTGACCTAAGCTTATTGAAACGAGGGAGAGAATTAGATAGTACTACAGTGGAAAGATACATAGACAGGGAATATTCACAATATTTTCAAATCTATACAGATGCATCTAAAATGATAAATAATAAAGTTGGTGTAGCTTTTGTAATACCAGATTTAAATATTATGAAAAATAAAAGAATACCTGATAAACTAACAGTATATACAGAATTAGTGGCAATTTGTATGGCTTTAGAGTGGGTCGAAGACAGTGGAGGAAAAAAGGTCATTATTTGCTCAGATTCAAGTAGCGCAATAATAAGTATTCAGGAGGCACAATCAAACTCAAGGCAAGATATTATATTAGAAATAACTCAATTAATTTTCAGGATTAAAAGTAATGGGTCTGATGTCAAATTATTATGGATTCCAGCTCACATTGGGATTGTAGGAAATGAATTGGCGGACAAATTTGCTAAGAGTGCTGCAAAAAAAAACAACGTGGATTTAAATATTAAAATAAGTAAAAGTGAGGTCAAGAATATAATAAAACTATATTGTAAAAATAAATGGCAAGAGCAATGGGATAGAGAAAGTAGTGCTAGGTATTATTATAGCATCCAGAAAACAGTTGGGGACTCAAGGAAAGGTAATAGAATAAAGAAAGAAGAAGATATAATATCGAGGATGAGATTTGGGCACACGGGATTAAACAGCACACTGAAAATAATTAACAAACATGATACAGGTTGTTGTAATCACTGTGGACAAACAGAAACAATAGTACACATTTTCATGGAATGCAATAAATATACACACGAAAGAGAAATGTTAAAAAGAGAATTAAATACAACTAAATTAGAGATAAAGGAATTGCTGCAAAGATCGTCTGGGGATATAAGTTTTAACAGCATCTTTAGGTTTTTGAGAAGAACAGGGAATTTGGAAAGGATTTAGTTGTTTTTTTTTAGTTTTTTTTTTAGAATCTTGTCCATACTCCAATCCAGAAGGTGGCGGTAATGCACCTTAAGCTGTTTGCCAACCGCCATAAAAAGACAAGAAGAAGAAGAAGAAGAAGAAGAAGAAGAAGACGGTCGGACCCGCCTCTCTGGTTGCAGTGCGCGCTCCCGACACAGGGGGAACAGATTTTCACAGGGGAACAGAATTTCGCACCGGCATTTCAGACTCAGATCATGTGGAGAAACCCGTTAAATTAAACCTTAAACGTGTTGACGACTCTCAGCTACTACCACAGTGGAATTAGCTCGTGTAACACTAGCTTATGTGTTGATTAGCTGTGACGGCCATCTAGAACCAAGTTATAGATGAACAGTCAGTGATTTCTTTATAGTTTCTTTGGCCATTTTAATTGCTCGTGAGATATTCTGCTAACAGACAGACACGGGTAAATACATAATCGTCCGCTCTGACGTTTGAGCGGCGGGCGATAAAACAGCAAGCTACAACACGGTGAGTCTGGAGGTCAGGACCCGTCAGAACCGCCTCCATGAGCCGAGCTCTTACATCAACTACTGTTAGAAAGTTTATTAAAGCAGCGGCCCAGCCGTCCGGAGCCACTGCAGCTCATGTCAAAGATGGAAGAATACACACAAAACACAGAGGCAAACTACAAAAGAGTTGAACTACCTCACAGGACACACGGACGGGGACGCTGTCTGTCACGTACAGTTTGCCACAACCACGCATGCGCGTCAGGTTCTTCTTCTTCTTCTTCAGTTTTATTGGCGGTTGGCAAACAAGTTATGGTGTGCATTACCGCCACCTACTAGTATGGAGTGTGGGTCAGAATGCTTTTTAAAATAAATAAATAAAATAAATAAATTCTATTTACTTGTGTATGTGTTGTCTGTCCTAATCATATCCTATTGATCA